ATTAATGAGACACACAGTGAGGATGCTAGGGAAATAACTGCATTGTGGCTGTTACCGCCATTAGAAGATGGAAATGGAAATCCATGGAGCTAGAGGCAGAAAGATAGTTTTTAATTATTATATGCCTTATTCATGTATGACAATCTGATAGCTTGAATGATCAGTGATTCTGAACTCCACTCAGAATCTGTGCAAACTGTAGCAAAAATGTTCTAATAAATAAATCATGGCTGTTTGATTTTCTTTTAGTAGCTGAGTAGCATTGACAACACATAACTTGGCAAGTACTGCAAAACCTGTACAAGAAACTGAGAGAATACTGAGGACGTTAGCCCAGCCTGCACTCTGCTCTGCTTCACTGCCCAGCTAGACAGTGAATGGAAACAACACAAGCATGCCGATGTGAACAGTAGTTATCTCTACATATAGTTATATATTGTAACTTTTATACAAACTAAAAAATGTATTTGTGTGTTCAGATGAATGGGATCACATATGACTATTAGGATCCTGACTTTACTAGATTTTACTGAATGGCAGAAAATTCCATTTCAAAAAAGTACCAAAGAACCAAAGATGTGATGAGCCTTTGTACATATAAAAAAAGATGCACCAAAAGAAACGCCTGTAAGTTAATCATTCGTTCTTACTGCACTGCAATTCAGGCTCTCAGACAATACTTGCATATGCCCCCAGATTCCTTTCCTGTTCAGGGCATAGCTCCAGAGAGCCCAAACATACGAGCAGCATAATCAGCCCTGCCTTACAAAGCAAGGCTCTATCCATCTCTCAAGCATCTAGCTCAAATAAACCTCCCAACCTTGGAATACAACTTTAAGCTCACGTAAGTCTCAACCACACAACAAAACAATGAGAAATCTCATTAGTCCGGTATTTGAAGTCCAGAGTCAGTGACAGAAAACAAAGTTCACCTTTTACATCCACAGACCACAAGGCATGTTCTCAGGGAAAGGTCATTTTGATACTGAGCCTGCTTCCTCTAGATGTTCCTGCTCCAGACTCATTCAGCAGAGTAAAATTGGAGGTATGGCAATGTAGAAAGAAAATTTAAAAATCAATTCATAGGTGCAGTAACTTTCAGTATCCCTCTTGCCGTGAGTGTTAACACATATATTTCTGCTGCAAACCCTCAGCCTGTATTTCAGAGTGATCTTTCAAAGAGGTCAAAGTTCTTTGCAATACTCTCTTCTCTTAAAAATCCACGTAACAGAATTCATCAACATAGAGGAGTCAATACATGACCAGAGACGAAAAAAGTTGAACAACAAAGGAGCAAAATTTAATTTGACAATATAAGAAAGAAGTATAAGAAATCATACAACAGAAAAAAAATGTGCAAAAGGAATGGAACATTTAAGAGTAGACAGATTTAAAGGTAGCAGTTGAGAGGATCAAAGCTGCAGAAGGAATTTATCTACTGGTTTTTCACTAAATTCATGGAAAATGTGTAAATAAATCTGAAATACTGAAACTGTCACCTAAATATCACCTGTACCATGTCTATCACTTTCAGTCCAGTCTTTTTCACTGATCGCTCTTTACATTGTTTCATCTTTAGTAACCAAAAAAAGATTCAGATGGATGAGATATTTGAAGAATTATCTCTAGGGGGCATGCAACCAGTATGCTACATAGTTACTGTGATTTAAACAAGAGGCATAAAACTATATGCAACTTGTCTACATATTTTAAGAACCAGAACATAAAGGCAATACAAAAGTTTGGGCAACTGTCTGAGGGAGAGCCACTCAAGGCAACTTCTCCTTAGTCTGTCTGGCTAGTTTAACCACATGAGAAGAAAGGCTGCAGACAACAGAGACTCCTTCACAGAGGCTGGAAGGAGTCTGCTAGTGATGGAAAAGTGAAAGGAGGGCAATGTCACCCTCCAAAATGTCTCACTTTGCATAAGTCTCAGAATATGATGGTAATACTATTTGTCACCAATGGCATGAATTTGTTCTGAATTAGAACCACGCAGACACTTGTCTATGAATAGGAAAAGAAAATGTCCTCCTTCTAAAAAAACCCCAAACTAGTCTTTTGCCTGTTACGTACTTACAGAAAAGAGCCACAGTCCTCACTGGCTCATGCTTTTGTGTTTCTACTCCTAGTTTTGCTAGAGATGAAAGGGTTAAGTTCACATTTTGGGGCACTCAGATTAAGAAGAAGTAGCATGTTTAAAATTATCCACACACATTCTAAATCTGATTGCTTTCAAAGAGCTCAGCCAGTCTGAATCTAAAAATCTTCATCCTCAAGCCAGGTGAAAATGCAGAAGTAGTTATGCTCAATTCAGCCAGACCAATCTTGTCTTGGGACATTCCCGCCTGAGAAAGTGACTGAGGGATGATACAAAAGAATGACTTTGTCACAGTGACAGCAGAAAACTGCCAAAAATTACCTGTGCTTAAAGCACAAATTTAGCTGCAGGTAACTTACCAGCACGAAGTTCTGAAATAGTGATTTATGTTTTGGCAATACTTGGTGTTTATCTATGAAAGTGTTGATACATCAAGGTATATTTAGGATGTACCATGCTGGGAATCAAGAAGAAAAAAACAATATCATGGCTTATAATTAGTAAGCAAGTGTAATGGCAATGCAATGGTCTGATCATTGCCCCACAGGAAGAGGTGAGCCTTGAACTGAATCTGGAAAGCAGCTAGCCAAGGAAGAGAAAATGCTCCTGTACAAATGATGCTGACATGTTTACTTTTATGGGAGAGATCAGCAGTCCATTAATATTACTGTCAGTGAAAGCATTGTAATGACACACTTTGTGTTTTCATTTGTTGCTTGTGCCTGCCTCTAACAGATTTCTCTTATTTTGTAACAGAGATTTTGCTTATTACTGTGTTGGAAAAGAATCTAAAAATGCCCATTTTACCCTGCATGACAGTTCTATGAACACATTTAGTTTCTGCATGAGGAGTTTAAAAATAATTTCTCTTAAATAAGCAAAGATAGTAGCCTATGAAATTAAACTCTTGTTTTTTGTAAATGTCAAATAATTTTATTAGGAATGCGAAAATAAGCCATCAGCAGAAACACAAATGCTTAGAACAAGATTGGCATTATTATTTTCATAGCCAGTCTGATAAGAGGCAATTTTACAACAGTGATAGACGCTGAGGCTCCCATGAAGTCTAATGACAAGGCTGATTTCTTACAAAATTTTTGAGTATAATTATGTTTCAAAAATCTGAAGATGCAAAAGGCAGATTTGATTCTGATGTGGCTTAGTAAAGTGCACTTCTGGTAACTTTGCTCTGACACACACATATAAGGGAGATAAAAAAATTAATTGGAGGAGTTTCTTGAAAAATTATTCTTTTTATTTTGTTCTTTTTTGACTTTTTGGAGGAAACAAAATGTAAAATTACTTCTCTTTACATCTTACTATTCCAATATCTGAAAACTATGGATCACAAACTAATAATTCTGCTTTCCATGCCATTGGTAAATCTCATGATCTGACATTCCTCATGTCTTGAGAAAATTGGTATGGAAATTTTATATCTTTCTCCTTTAAAAACATCAAAATTAGTAACTGGTTTGATATTAACCTGGACAAAATATGCCCTATGAAACCAGAGCTTACTTTCTTTCCTTATGTAGTTTGATTCCGTGTGTCGGCTTGGGTTTCCTGCAAGCAGAAAGTATTCTTGCTAACTTATCAGTAGTGTTTGCCTGCGAGATGTAACAGTAATTAACAGGGCACTGTTGGCACTACTGCACTTCTGGCAGTGACACACACAAATTATTAAGGTAGGTCACAGGAATACAGTTTACACGGGTTGTAAGCTGAGAGCTTAGTTTATACTCAGACCTATCTTTCTCATTTATGTATGCCATTTCAGTTCCCTGTCACAGATTCCTAACATGTTTGGTTTTGAAAACAAGTACCACCAAAAAAATGGGCCAAATAAGCGTATTTTATCCTCCCATTCATTATGTTCATAGCTACAGTATTATGAAACTGAGCATTAAAAGTTCTGTATCATAATACTATATCCTTTAGAAAAGATACTCTGGGGGAAAAGCAAGCATTAACATCACCCTACTTTCTACACGCAAGAATTAGCAGCACTGATCATCAGGCTCTGACAACAAATATTCTTACAACGACGTGTCAAGTGTGTATGCGCGTATGGGAATTATGCATACCACTGACTGCAGAACAGACACATCAGCAGAAACATTTTCATAGTTTGTGTTTTAGTTAAGACAACGATATGGGGTGACAGACCTACGTTCTGAATCTGTTCTTTTGCTGCAACATGTCCATGTGAAATGTATAGCCTAAAATACAGTGCTAATATGAATAATAAATTATATTGTCATATGTGATCCTGTCAGCAGCACTTACAATTCCAAACTAATCAAGAATTCTTCTTGATTAAAATCTAGGACCCATATTCCCAGATAGGGTGACACTCCTGGCTCCCAATGACTTCGGTGCACAGATCAGTCACCATAGATTTGTGGATCTGAACAATCCATGTTCTGATCTATAGTTGTATATGAGTAAATTTATTCATATGTATCAAATAGGACTACCTTCATGCAACATTACCCATGTGCTTAATCATTTATGGTACTGAAACATAATATCAGTCAGCGTTAAGAACTTCTGGGTTGAGTCTGCAATTTACTTCTATAATAGCAAAGCTTTATTTTTCCTGTCTTAATACAACTAACAATATAAGGCTTTGGTTTTGGGTTTTTTTAAACATTTTTTTACATATACCCTATATGCTCTGTACAAATGCACTCATGTATCTCTTCAAAATCTATACTACTGTATTCACTGAAAAAATACAGTTTTGAAAACTAAAAGAAATGGAACTTCAGCAGAAATGACGTTTTCTTTCAAAAATTCTGTACTTTAAAAATCCAACGTGTTTTACTTTTTACTGAATTATATACAGTTTCCACTGCACACGCTGTTAAAATTAATTCTAAACCCAAATACTTACTAGTTTCAGTAGCTACAATAGTTATGTTGTGCCACATATTTGTTTCTCTGTCCAGTGGTGTTGCCAAAGTTATTTTCCCATCTTCTGCGTTAATGTTGAACTGTCTCTCAAGGTCAGTATGCCGATCAATGGAAAACCTACAAAACAGACATCCCTGTAATCTACTTAATGAAGTTGGTGTAATCCATACAATCACAAGACAATTTAGGGAGCCCTCTGAGAGCTGCAGTTTTATAGCCAAATGGATCGAGAAGCTCAATAGCATAATAATTTATAAGACAAAATGACAAACTGAGACTACAAAAACTTAATAATTATTGCCCAAGGAGTAATTAGCTGTATACCCAGTGTGAAGGTCATAAAATGCCCTCAGGTTCACTGGGTAACATCTTTGAAAAACGGTGCTGATCAAGAGTTAATTACACAATCCATCACATTTATTAGACAGTTTCTATGGTATTTCACAGTAACCGATGATAATTTCAACAGTAATGTATTAAGCACACAAAAATGGTGGGCTTCATGGTTATTTTTAAAAAGGCTGAATAATATTATTTTAACCAATAAATTTCAGATTAATGAAGCATGAACTATTCACCAAGCATATTATTTGGTTATGGTTCAAGCAGCTCCATGGGCAGAATGTAGCTAGTGAATCACCAGTTTCCTATAAAACACTTCAAACACTGAAGGACTGATTGTTTCATGGATTGACATCACTGATTTTTAACAAAACAAGTTTCATCTGACAAGTAGTCAGAGTTTGCAAATGTGAATGCCCAGGTAAATTATGCAGCCCAACCAGAGCCAGTCTGACAACAGGAGCGAGCTGCAGTAGATTGCTCCAACAGTGCATTAAGCAGGATGATGATTTAAAGCTCAGAACAGGATCTCCAGGAAAGATGTTATGTTTTTCCTTTTTCTCAGAGTTGTTTTATTAATGTATTGTTCGCAAAAAGAAACTAAATCACAAAATTAAGCCTTCCAATTTTTTGACAGGAAAGGTACGAAATGAGAGCGTTTAGTGATAAACTATTGATATGGTTCAACAAAAATTGACTTCAAGGGGTTTTACTGAATCCTAATTGTGGATTTATATAAAAGCCTTTTAAGCCTTTGTGCCTATGTATTACAGAACCTAACAACACGCACTGACAATTTTTACATCTGTTCTGCATTATATCTGGGCATAATAGGGTGACTTAGGATACAGTATCAGACTGGATTACACTATATAGTGGTCAGAAAAGTGACTCAGCCTGTTCATTTCTCATTACGTTTCTACTTTTTGCAAATATGCTGTTAAATTCACTGATAAAAGAACAAGAGCATATTTTGCTACAGTGACAATGGCACAGTTATCTGAAAATCAGTTATTCCATTCTGGTTTATGCTTTATCATAAGCAATTTCCAAAAAAAGTTCTGATTCAGAGGTTCCTTTATATGCTACAATAAACATATTCTGATGAACTCAAGCTCATTCCAGAGTAACACAACTGATTTTGATAGACATAGCATTAGGATCTGATTTCAAAGCTTAGGATTATGGTGTTCACCATTTTTTATTTTACTGTCAGATATTTTCGCATTTAGAATGAAAGATACACTGCAATTAGATTGCTTGTGCAATGCATTCGGTAAGGTACAATTCACTTTCAAAAAACTCATTTTAAATTACGAAGATTTATCAAAATCTTAATGTTTAAATGTTTAACGACTGTGTTACTGAAGATCAAGGCATGATCACACTGGGAAAGTACTTAACAACTAATGGACTTAAGAGTGAAAACCCCTGTTTAACTAAGAAACGGGATTTGTTAGACATTTAAGTTTTCTGTTTTTAAACTCTGAGAAGAACTAGTTTTACTCACATTAAATGAGTAGTTTCGTTAAGAAGAGTACCAGAAAAAATATGAAGTAAAATTCAAAATATATGTGCCTAAAGCTAGGCATGTGCATCTATATTTGGACATTCAAGTAAACTGATTTTCTAGTGAGCTCCACATACCCAGTTCTCAATGGTTTAATGGGAATTGTACTATCCTCAGCAACTCTGAAAATCAGGTCACTTGTGTGGAAGAATAAAGCTGTAGGTGCCTAACTTCAGGCAATCATTTCTGAAAATGTATCTTAACTTTATTTTGATGTCTCCCTAGTTCCAATTAAAGTATTAGAAGTAAAATTCTGGTACTAGTGAGGTTAGTAAAAAACATCTTGCAGACTTTCACGGGTTTAAGATTTCACTCAAGAAAATACAAGAAAGATAGCAATCAAGATAATATTTTTAAGATGTCATCACTTAAAACTAGCTTTTAATTCTTGATGTTCATGTAATGATGCAGAAAGAACTCTGCTGATATCAAACATTTATGAAATTTTTACAGTCCACAAAAGAAATAAAATATGAAATGCTTATATGCTGTTTAATGTTTAGTTGACCTGGGCTTGACATAAATTCCACTGAGATAAGACACAGTTTTTCTCTAAGGATCAATCCTTTTTTAAACTTCCATTCACAGTCTTCCTGCAGTACATTTTTTGAAGTTATAAAACTGGGAGCGTAACATCTGTGAGTTTATTATATTGCATTTCACCTCATCCCAACAGTACTTATTCACAATGCAAAACCAGCATTCAAAGTGGAACATTTTTAACATAAGTTACATGGCTCTACAAAGAGGTAAAACCCTCTCCTGATTTTAATTTGATGAATATTTGGTACAAAACTAAAAAATAAAATCTGCAGTGTCGTAAACCGAGGAAAACTAATAGTACATTTGCAGTTTCCTTTTCACGATAATGGTATTGTAACTCTTTTCAATGGGAATGAGTTGTCAGATCCATAAGCTATACATAAAACATACATTTTTCTAAAAATGAGAAAAGAATATCTTGGGAAATAATATCTTTTGAAATTGCCATAAACCCAGCACAGGTTATTGGAAAGTTTTGGTTAGTTTACGGGTCTGCTATGGCAATTATAGGAACAACCCCATAGTGGTTTAACAGAAGACTTAAAATGATTCTCAGGCCTGCCCCTGCACTACTGTTATTGCTGTTATGACTTAATTCCATCTATTCTTTATTTGCACCAATGTAAACAAGAGCAGAAATCCTTTTTTGCTGCACCTGCTGAGATTTGAATCACAGTACTGATACCCCATCAGTGGTAAATCGCCATTGTTTATTAATGCCAGGCAGATCGGACATGCTACTTAGTGACAGATAAACAGCTGCACCATAAGGGAGGCAGAAAATAATAGTATCTAGGTTTTTAAGGCCTCCTGTGAATTAAGAAAATGATCAACTGCTGCCAAAGATGAAATCTCTGTCGATATGAACGGGGAAAACCTGCCACAGTGAAGCTTATCTCTCCACGGAGAAAGACACTGAAGGGCAGTGATTTATAGGAGGGCAGATACAGTATAGGAAGAAAGATTATTACCCATGCTTTTTTCTATGCACTTGTATCATGCTTTATCCAAGATAATTTACTGCAGATAAATAGACCATGGTTATAAAATAACAACAGAAACACCAAATAAGTACTACTGGAATCAATAGATTTGTACGCTAATAGATAATGATCTTTCAAGCCTAATTATACTATAAGCCAGAATGTGCCACCCTTACTAAATAACTACAGTAAAGCCTTACAACTAGCTTACCTGAATTCACTGGGTCCCTTTCCCAAGAGAGATGCATGCAGTCTAGATATGGTAAGATGTGAGCCACTGACACATGCTTCTGAAATGACTAGGCTAGAATAAGACAAACTACTGACCGTGTTTACAATTATTAGCCAAATTCGTAAATCCTTTTCACCATCAGGCTTAAAAGTGAGACAGGCCCTTAAGCAACACGCACAGCAGAATAGCAAATAAAGATAAAAGAGAAATTCTGCTGCTCATTTTAAAAATACTGGGTTATGAAAGATATTATATAGTTAGACTAAGCTAACAACCGATAAGAAGAGATAGTTCATATTCATTGGAGAAATGCATGATGAAAGCATAATTCAGCCAAGTATCATATTATCACTTAGCCATTCAAAGATGCCTTTGCTTATCCACAATTAGGGCTCAACAGCAACGAGAAAAGTCCCATACAACATATGCATCCTTTAGGCTCATCTATCTAAAGGTGTCTAAATTTCTTTGGCCGATACATAGATTTCAGACTAATAACCACTGCCAAAATTCCATATTTGACACAAGGCATTGCTAAATAACCCTCTTCAGGTATTTCCATAAGGGGGCACATTCAGAACCAGACGGGTAACCCATCTACACACCTGCTTGTAAATCTATGATAGCCTTCATACCTTTGAGATCAAGTGATGTAAAGATCAGAGAATATGTTTCATCTCTTTTAAGGAAGTGTAAAAAACAAAGTACCGTTGTATTGGATAGAAAGGAGATTAAACTTTTAAAAAAAAAAAAAAAAAAAAAAGAAAACACAGGAGAAGTTTCTTTCCAGGTTGTTTTCTATAATAACTTTTCTAAATTCTTTAGTGTTTTGTCTCATGACTCAATTATCAGACTATTTCCATATTTAGAGATATCCAAGTTTTATTTCATTTATGGTACTGCAGTACTCTGAGTTTACTGAGCCTTTGTGTATAAGACTAACGTGCAGCAGATGTGGTATTGGTAGCACCTAAGGTGATTCATATTTTCGTTCATGTTGCTAGGGTTTTTATAACAAATGTACACAAAAGCTCTGTCTAACCATAATATTGATAGAACAGATATCTATTGAAAAATATAATTTCCTTCAAATGCAATTGGTTGTTGTCTCCTAAAATTCTGTTTTAAAGAAAAAAATACATTTGAAAATGGCCAGGCAGTATTAAAACAGTCCACTATTTTCAGAACAGAATGTTTTAATTCTGTTTTTCAAATTTTTAACTTACGTTCAGTATTTTTGAAAGTGTATCAGAACATATACATAAAATTTACATCATATATGTGATACAGTTCCAGAGTAAACACTCGAAATGCACAATGAAATATACAATCAAAATGAAACATTCTAATCCAACAAAACAATGCTTCCACATATTTTTGTTAGAACCTGCCACGTTCCAGTTTTATTCTGAATTGGAAAGAAAATAACTGCATTTCTACTCCCTACTTGTCTCTGATGAATATTTTTGCACACATAATAGTAGAATTAGTAACTTGAAATCTCTTTTTTTGTCTTAAAATATTTTTCATGCAAAAAATGAAAAAAAGGAATTTGCACTTTCCAGAGATATCCCAGATAAAGCCAAGTTAATCAGGTGAGCAAACAAAAAGTTGCATAGAAAATTGAGCTCTGTATATTCCTAAATTAGCTATCAAGCCAATACCGTAGAAAAATTAAATTTTATAAAGTATTGCATATATTTTTAATGAAGATATAAATAACACTAATTAATTACCTTTTTGTTTAAATGTAATGAATTTTGGCCATTCTCTTTCATGTGTATCAATTGTTTCTACCCGAATTGATAAGTAATAGCATTCTAATTCAATTTGCACATATAAAATATTTTTTGCTTCTAAAAGTTTGAAAATATCTTGATCTATAAAATGATGAAAAAATGGAAATGAAGTAAATATTTTACTCAGTTCAACTTTTTGCGCTTGGATACATAAAGATGGAATAGAGAGGCTCAATTTTAGAACATAGGTAGGTTTGTAGCTAATCTAAATGATTACAAGTTTGGGGCAGGACTAGAAAAGAATTCAGGGAAACAGAACAAGACTGGAAAAATAGCCAAGGTAAAACTGAAGCAGAGTCGAGGCCAGGCTGAGATGAGGAAGAAAGGGGACACAAGAGCCAAGAGCAAAGCAGAACAGGGTAGAGAGAAGGAACTAAGGTTAAATTGAAAGAGAAATTACTATCGAGTTGGAATAAAGGGAAGAAAGCCAACTTGCTGCCACCCTGGCTGTCTCACACACCTTTCAGAAGACCCCGTCTTTGTAGCGGCAGTGCAAGCCCTGTTTCACAGATGCCAGTGGACAGCAGTAATAAAATTAGAGGTGGAGCCACTGCTTAAATTGTGTTAGATCAAACTCTGTGCATTTTAGATTACTTTTTTTTTGTTTACATAACATTTTTCTAACCTGGGTAACTACCCTCATTTATTTCCTATTTCTATGATCACATTACCATCTTTGATCACCCTGAGAGCTTCTCTGATAAGAAAATAAATTTGGTGCCTATTAACACTGTCTGGGTTGTGTGCTGCAGTAGAAAATATATTAATCAATTAATTTGTATAGAAATCTGTGATAGATAATGCTACGTTTACCTAGATTTGAAAGGATGATGTAGAAATGAGAGACTCCAACATACTCTCCAACATCTTCATACACAAGTTCTAATACATCCAACCATGTTGGAAATTATGAATTTCTAATTCTGAAAATACTAAAATATGATAGCAACATGCATAAATAAAGGTTTACTGTTTGGCTCTCCGACAAATCTGATGTAAACAATGATTAGAAAATGGTGTGAAGTGATAGATTAGAACAATTAGTATCATCCTCACAATACTAAAGACTGCTTGTGAAGCTTAAATACCCTAAGGCAGTAATGTACATTGATGATTATTATTAAATAGACTCTCTCCAAATATACCTTTACTATGAATTTGACACTTTAGTGTTTGTTTTCATAATGCTTTTAGCGGGCAGTACTATACATAGCAAAATGTGTTTTGGGAACACTCGCATCATACCATACTAACTGTTACAAAGGGAAGGGGAAGATGTGTGCTCATCAAAATGCGACAGAAAACTCTGATCTGATGAAACTGGAATAACAGAATTTGTTCAAGTTAGATCAAAAAGTGAAAATATTGTAAATCGAAGATGCAAAAGTCATATGGGCATAATCATCTCTGACTTTTTATCTTTAAACCAGGAATGGCTTTAAAATAAAAGAATACAAAATATGTTTTGACAACCTTACTGCTACGTGGAACAACCTCAGTATCGTTAGTGCAGACACTAGCGGATTATTTAAAATAACTGCAGAGACACACACTGATGATTCAACCCCATCTGACCATATACACCCTATGTCTTATTTTCATTGCATTCCTACTGTTTCATAAGACTACTCATGTGGCAAGGAGCATTTTTATGATTTTGAAAATGATCTGCACTGATAAATCTAACATCATAAAACAAATCCTATACAAGTATTTTCATAGAAATAAAACAGCATGAGAACAGTGTCATACAATGTAGGGGAAAATACACTTAGCATTCTGCCAGCAGTTTTTTCAAAGAGAACTTTAAAGCAGCACTACCTTATAGGACTGGAAGACACATCGGGGTCATGGGCAGTCACCTGACCAATCACAGAGTTAATAGCAGCATTTTCATGCACTTCCAGTAGGTAAGTAGGTGATGAAAAGACTGGTGGCTCATCAGCATCCTCTACTACAATTTTTACTGTTGCTGTATCCTTGAATGGTCCTCCACTGATGAAGCGAGGATCAATATGAATGTTGGCTGCTTCTACCTTCAGAGTATAGGATTTTTTGGTCTCAAAGTCCAGTGGCTGTTAAGAATGACAAAGATAAATGTCTTTTACTAATGGCCACAGAGAAAGAACAAATTAATATAATGCTGATGGATGAAAGTTATGTGCATTTAAGCACATTCAATGAGTTTTAATGCAATTGCTTCCCACTCCCAGAAATCCAACCTCCAAATTTTCTAGGCATATATTGATATCTGTTTATTAACCAGCCTCAGAGAAAACAAGACTCTTTGTTTTCTTGCTTTTCACAAGAAATTTACCAAAATATTCTCTCTCATGAATTATACCATTACAATTACATATCAGATAAATACTACAAATTTGTTGGTGATGGCATGACTTGCATACTAATCATGCACTTAATCAGTGCTTTGTTAGTTGGAGATAAGAAAAAAAAAATATAATAGCTGCACAAAGAATAAATATTTTATTACTTCCAGAACAATGTAAGAAATGCAAAGAACTAGCAATTATTATTTGTTGGACATGAGAGGCATTATGTGGAAAAATGTAGAGCTAATCATATAAGAAAGTACTTCGGTATTATTGCACTTCAGGTAACTCTGCATTTCTGTTTATAGGGGTAAATGAGGTAGACATCTCTCAGGAATTTCTTAAAACTGTAGCAATTCCTATTTCTGTATCTTATTTTTTTTTCAGAGAGAGAAACACGAAACCGATTACTTTATTCTATCAATATACCTGCCATGTCACCATTGTTTTTACTATTTTAGAGTTCCATATTAAAACATAAAAGATGAAAACACAGGGGATTTAAAGGAATGAAATACCAAATAAAAACCAAATCTGTGACACTTTTGAATATTAGAATTTTTCATTATAGGAGATTCAAGTTTGTGTCTTGAAGAACATCAGTATATTCACTATATAATTCTCTTGTGTCTCACAATGATTCAAATTTCAAAGATGCAAATTGCCAAGCATTGGAAAGATATTAAGATTTGCATTACAATGTCCCAGGGATAAAAAGAAAAGGACATAGAAACTCTGAATCTGCAATGCAAATACCAGCAAGAGCACAAATAGGGACCTTCAGGAAGTCTGTCAAAGCCTTCAATATGTATACTTTCAAATTTTGTTGATTTTTTTCAGGTATGAATCAAGCTCTAATGGGATTTGCTCTTTTTCACAAATTCTAGTAAACATGAGAAAACTTTGCTTCTTTAGCAGCTCTTAAATTAGTAAGCTTTTGTAATTATGAATGGTGATTTATAAATCAGCATATTCACAATTTGCCAATCATAGCTCCTATATAATTTCTTCAATTGCTTTTCATATGCTTTACAGAAATGACAGCACCCCAATACATTTAGTCATGCTTAATCAGAATATCATATTGAAAATTTACTCTGCATTGTCTAAAACCCATGAATTTATGCTGGAGAAAATCTGTTGGTGAACAGTACCCTGCATACATCATCTACTGTAGTAGAACCAAAATGATTATTGCTGTCAAAATGAATATACGAAACAACATTATGTTAGAGACTCAGTTATGAAATAAAGCCAAGGGAACTGGGGCAAAAGGCTAATTGCCTTAGTTTACAAAAGAGGCCACTGCATACAATAAATAACAGTAAGGAAGATCGGGGATGTATATCATAATTTTCTCTTTAGGAAAACAGATCTACATTTAGATAAATATACATAATTTTATTATAAATCTACAGTGCTGACCTACTCACTGAGAAACAGAAAATATAAACTTTTGACAGGTTCTCTGCCTGACCTCTTTAATTACAGGTACAAGTTGAATATTAATTACCTGTACTCATTGGATTGTTCTTTTTTCACTGAAATGTCTTTGTTTGTTTCGGTTTTGTGGTTTTTTTTAAAAAAGAAAGATTCATTTAGAGTGCTGTATGCTTCATATTTAAAACCCTCTATGCCAGTGTTATAAATTACATTCATATCCTTTTTTGGAACACAGCATGAGATGCAGCTCTCTTCTCCTTCCCCAGAAAATAATGGAAATTAAATCTGCAAATAATGTTTCATTGACTTTACTAGCCGTGTTTTGTTCAAGATATGCTGTCTCTCCCCATATTTCTGTATATAATTGGGTTGTCCCTCTGTTGTGTACATGCAAATACCTCACCTTGCATACATCAAGACTGTACAAGCATAGAAAAGGTAACAGAGTTTAACCTTCTTTAGGGCCTGAATTTGGCACTTCTCATGTGAAACAGTACTGATCTCCCTGATAAAGTTCATGGAAATCACTATTCATTGAGCAAAGAGAGTTCAGCATGAGAAAACATGGAAGACTAAGCCTCTCACACATCAGGTAATTTAAATAATACACTATATTTTTTTGTCTCTGAATGGTATCTGACCAGCTATACAGCAAATCAAAGAACAGAGAAAAGGTATTTGATGAATACTCAGCCAAGATTTTACGGAAGTTTACACCACCACCAAAGCAGATTCTAATCTACTCTTCTCCTTTGGAACCAAGGAAGCAGAACCTGTATGATTTAACCATGTGGAAGCCCAGGCAAGATTAACACATTCCCAGCACCGAAAATACTTCCGTGGTTGTCTCCCCACTTGTCACCTAAATGGCAATTTTGAGGGACATGGCTAATACATCCCTTTTTTATCACTTCACTGGCTTGACACCTCACCCATAGATAAAAGAATCCTTGGAAATCCAGCATCTTCGCACAGAGTACAGTCTGGCTGGGTCGTTGTGTGTACAATAAACATTTTTTTTAACAGAGATACCATTTACCTTTCTCACTCTAATAATGCCGTCCTGAGTTTGGGCATCTGTAGTAATTTCAAATATATCCATTCCATCTCCTTCAATAATATCATAGGATGATTTAGCATTTTCTCCAATATCCAGGTCATTTGCTTTCACCCTTCCTATTGGTTCACCAAGAGCAACATCTTCCATTACTGAGAAGTGATACAGACCTTACAAATAAGAGGAAAAGACTAAACATTACACCTGATTCCAGTATCTCTTGTGTGCTCTTCATTTGTTTATACTTCCCCAATGCAAACTCTTGAGATGTGCAACTGATACAAACCACATTTACACAAGCTATTTACTGAAAGCAGCAAAATGTGTTCCTTATACAGGAATACTCAGTTTACTGTGTGTGAATGTTCTTTTCATTACAGTAGTATTCTGCTTCTCCCTTGCAGGGATGCTTAATGTTGGCAAACATAAATATTAAGCTACTTTTAACATTGAAAGTATGCAACATTCTCTACTGCAGACACTGTTGAACTTACCGTTTTATTTGCAGACGTGTAGTTAGAATTCAACTATGAAACTTTGGCTTTTACTCTGCAGAAAACTGGTCTAATACTTTAAAGATACCTTATACAATTTCAGATCCTTACTACTTTTTTGGCCCTTTTAATTTGATTTGGTTTTGTTTGTTTAACTCCTTCCACCTCCCTTTTGTGGTAAGAAACTAATTAAGAAACATTTAAGAAAACTCCCAAAATTTATGTTTTAAAGGAAACAACTACTTTTCATAGCAATCATTACCATATTCACTATTTGGTTGCAGGGTTAGACTAAAATCCACTAGAAAGTGCTATTCAAATTGTCAGCATTTTTATTTTTTATAATACTTTCTTCAAACCTTCTGACCTAAGAAGTGTCAAAAATGTATTTAGAACTTGTAATATATTATTTTAGGTAAGCATTTTATTAAGAGAAAACTCAAAATACCCATTTTACTATTATATATCCCACTTTTTAACAGTGCTCTGAAAAACAGAAGACGCATGCTTTACCTCAAAAATTCTTTATGGAGTGCCTTTTTTTTTTTTTTTTACCTCTTGGTAATTTACACTTATTGAAGCTATGGTTAATATGTGATCAATCAACTGCAGTGTTACTTAGTAGTTAAAATAGTCAAAAGGAATTCAAGGTTAGCAGATGAGACCATTCAAATAGTTTTTGACAAAGGGTTCTGGACTTGCTCTTTTCCTGAAACCAGGACATAGCTATACATATAGTCTATCCCAAAGTGACATATTTTTCCCTTTAATGTTTCTAGGCTCAATTATTAGAGATAACTTGGAGATCATGAAGATTCCTCAAGAATATTCATAATGGCTCACAAACAATGAGCAGCCAAAGCAATCAAGTGCCTCAGGAGACTAAATTATGTGTTCATAATTTATACTGCTGTCCATACCTTGTGGTTTGACTCTCCAGACACAGTTGATTGCATTTTTAAGTTGGTATTTTTCTCTCAGATTTATTAAGATACTTTATAAAATATTGCAAAAAAAATTATTGGGATGCAGCCGACTCTTTTACACAAATTCTCTCAAGAATTATGGATTGTCCTGTCAAGATGTCATAGTGCAGAACTGATCAAAAATCCACGTTATGCATCTTTGAAAAGCCTTGGTTTTCAACAGCAGTGCACAGTTCTCAGTACAATCCTATGGTAAACTGCCAGGTTAAAAACTTCTGTGACTTATAAAATGCCTCTAAAATTATCTCAAAGAGATCACAGAAATAGTGAAAGTTCATCTTTTTCATTTCTAAAACCCAGGAGGCTAACACTCTTTGAAATCAAACCATAAATATACATTTCTGTCCTGCCTGGAAACAATAAACCGATAAAACACCCTGCTTTCTGAGTTCATTACAATTTATTGTGAAAGCAGCATGTATTACATCTTATGAATTTCTATTTCATTCTGGTTAGGCTCTATTGTAAGTTTGATTCTTTCTTATTTTCCTTTCCAGGCAAATGCAAACTGTGCTTCAACGGTGTAAAGAAATGTTAAAGACTTGATCAGCTCTTGTACAAGGCCAGAGTCATGACTAATCTGTAATGCTAGGCAGCATGCTATGAATACTTAGTTCTGAAAGGCAGAATTTGTAATAGCATCCAGTTACAATATTTACTATGGCTCATCCTCATTAAATGCAATATATACATAATACGAAGTTACAGTACACGCAGTTTTTTTCTAATGACGTTGTGTAATCGTCAGTGTTATAACAGGGTGGTGATTCCTGGATGGTAGCTTGAATTCTGCACTGGAATGCACCAGCCATAACAGCTTCAAAGACAGCAACTCACTCTTTGTTGAAGGAAAACTAATCTACATTTTCCATATAGAAAATATATTTCAGGGATCTGTGATGCAGTCTTCCTCATGCTACCCAGTCGATGCGCCACTGTATCCAAACTACAGGAGAACAGATATGAGTAAAATGCACGGGGAAAGTACAGCTTCATCTCTGTGTGCATTCACTCCTGTGCTTCCT